GAGATCAAACCTACCCATTCTTAAGGAAATCAGCCCGGAGTGCTCACTAGAAGGACAGATCGTGAAGCTGAGGCTCCAATACTTTGGCCACCTCATGAGAAGAGAAGACTCCCTGGAAAAGACCCTGATGTTGGGAAAGATGGAGGGCACAAGGAGAAGGGGACGACAGAGGACAAGATGGTTGGACAGTGTTCACGAAGCTACCAGCATGAGTCTGACCAAACTGCGGGAGGCAGTGGAAGACAGGTGTGCCTGGCGTGCTCTGGTCCATGGGGTCACGAAGAGTCGGACACGACTAAACAACTAAACAACAACAGTTCAGTATCGCCTGCACTGACTGGAAGCAGCTCTGCTGGATATCAGACAGGAAGTCTCTCCCAGTCTCACCTAGAGATGCCAGGGACTGAACTCGCGACCTGCATGCAGATCAGATGCTCAGCCTTCCAACTCCAAGTTATCTTGGACAGGATCTCAAACCAGTACACAGCCTCATTTTTTCCACCTCATTAAGTTTTTGTTCTCATTCTCTCAGATTTCCAGCTCGATCATGCTAGTTTATCCAATGGACACAATTCCCTTTCCTGGAACCGAACATGAAGCATACATAATTTCCCCTTCGTATGAAAAGAAAACCTGGGAAGAGAAGGGGACGGACGGACGGACAGGATTCCATTCTTGCATTTTACAGCTCCTTCTTGGATGCACAGAGCTAGTCTGGCAAAATTTGCGGTGAAGTGGGGTAGAGAATCAAAAGAACAGTTTGCCTTCCTTGTTTGCTCAAAGCCCGCTGAAGAAAATAAGAGAAAATGGAACTCTGACGCCAGCATTCATTCTGACGTTGTCAGAGTTCATTGCACACTTAGAACTGCTTAACCCAATGCAGCGTGCGAAACTTTGAGACTAATTCTTTTAATTATTTCAATTACCACTGACAATTTTGTGGGGGAGGGATGCGGGTGGCGCTGTGGGTTAAAGCACAGAGCCTAGGACTTGCCGATCAGAAGGTCGGCAGTTCGAATCCCCGTGACGGGGTGAGCTCCCATTGCTCGGTCCCAGCTCCTGCCCACCTAGCAGTTCGAAAGCACGTCAAAGTGCAAGTAGATAAATAGGTACCGCTCCGGCGGAAAGGTAAACGGTGTTTCCATGCGCTGCTCTGGTTCACCGGAAGCGGCTTAGTCATGCTGGCCACATGACCCGGAAGCTGTACGCTGGCTCCCTCAGCCAATAAAGCGAGATGAGCGCCGCAACCCCAGAGTCGTCCATGACTGGACCTAATGGTCAGGCATCCCTTTGCCTTTTGCTAGAATTAAGAAGTTCCATCTTGATTCAGTTAGGAATTGTACAGCAGCTGGCACAGCATGTTATGGTTGTTACAGCAGGCAGAAAAGATCACGATGTGGTCCCTTTACCTTTACCTATTTTGTGGGGGAGGATGACTGCAACAGAATTCAGAACAGCATCATCAAGAAAACACACTTAGAACCTTGACCTGCACATGGGTCTGAGGAAGGACAACACAGAGGGGACCTGAGGGGACCTGCAGTTGACTTCCTGTGGGTTTGGCAGGTCACTGGCTGAACCTGTTCCTGAGGGTCTTGGAGAGACCCCAAGTGGGTTGGATTTCCCTCAAGTTGCTCTCATGCCCCACCAGTCACTGCAGTGAGAGCTCTGAGCCCCACAGATTTTATATGCGGAAGCGACCAAAGTGTGCTTGGAAACGCATGCTTAAATACAACTTAGATGCGCATCTCTATAGTTCTCGGCTTATTATGCAGAAACGAGATGGGGCAGATTTATGGGCGAACACACGCATGGGTGATCAAGGCTGGAGATAGACAGATTTATCTTCCCCATAGTGGAGAGAGCCTGAGTTTGCACTCTTGCTTTGTACATCCAATTCACACAGGAATCCTAGTAAAAATACAAACATGTCAGACTGCAGCCAATCCACCTCTGCCCTAGAGTCTACCAAAAGCCCTCCCCTAGCATTGCACATTGGAGAAGAACATTGGCAGCAATGTGACAGCTCAGAGATGTCGCTCAGAGAAATTTGTCCAGCGTTACTGGTCTTCCAACCCACAAGGATCTCAAAGCCTTTTCTTCTTCACACTCATCTGGGTTAAGGCAACCCCAGCACACATTTGAACCCAAACCCATGTTTTGTTAAACTTACTTCTGTCTTCTACAGTTGCTCTGAGTGTTTTATTGGTTTAATATCCAACTGTCTGGACTGTTCTCGAGGTTCCAGGATAAAAGCTGAGGAATGCCATTCAACCCACTGAATATTTATTTATTTGATTCCGCTTATGAATTCCCTCCCATACAACATCTCGAAGTGATTGCACAGTAAGAACAACAACTCGACAATAAGAGCAACTAAAAACAACCCCATTCGCAAGAACAACTAAAGATAATTCCATGTGTAACACAGTCAAATATTTTTTTAAAAATCCATAGATAAAAGAGCACACCCCAGCGCCATGATAAATAGCAAGGGGTGATGGGAGTTGTAGTCCAACAACATTTGGAAGGCCACAGGTTCCCCAACCCTGCTCTAAAGCTGAATAGATAACAGAACGGAAACAAGCATCTAAAAGACTGTTTTCCCCAATACAGTCATACCTTGGTTCTCGAACACCTTGCGACTCAAACATTTTGGCTCCCCAACACCGCAAACCCGGAAATGAGTGTTCAAGGTTTGCGAACGTTTTTTGGAAGCCGAACATCGGACGCATCTTCCAGTTGAGTGCAGGAAGCTCCTGCAGCCAATTGGAAGCCACGCCTTGGTTTTCAAACGTTTTTGGAAGCCCAACAGATTCCATTCGAGAACCAAGGTACGACTGTATAAACTATCTTAGTTGTCATGGAATGGTTGGAAGCAGAGGAACGGTGGGAGGAACCAGCTGGTGAACCACCAAGTGAAGAAGGCTCAGAGCCTGGGGATTGGTGGTGGGACAACGATGGGTGGTCAGAGGGAAGAGAGGGGGAAGAGGAGGTGTCAAAAGCTGAAGAGGGTACAGGGCTTAGTGAGCTGGGAGAGTCGGTGGCAGAGAGAAGTCCAGAATCAAAGGCAGAAGCTGAAGCAGAGGCAGAATGGAGTCAGGCTAGTAAAGAGTCATGGGTGTCTCCCTCTCCTGCTGTAACAAGCTCCCCTCTTCGCTGATCTCCCAGAACCAGAAGAGGGCTGAAAAGTGCAGAGCAGCATCAGGCTGCACATAGATGCTGTCTGAGGTTGCTTGGAAAAATCCCAGGAGAGGAGGGGACCAGTGGTACCTCAGGTTAAGAACTTAATTCACTCTGGAGGTCCGTTCTTAACCTGAAACTGTTCTTAACCTGAGGTACCGCTTTAGCTAATGGGCCTCCCACTGCCGCCCTGCCACTGCCGTGTGATTTCTGTTCTCATCCTGAAGCAAAGTTCTTAACCCGAGGTACTATTTCTGCATTAGCGGAGTCTGTAACCTGAAGCGTCTGTAACCTGAGGTACCACTGTACTCACACCAGAACACGGATAACAGAAATAATGGTCATGATTGGGAAGAAATTAGCCTACCTAATTTTGCTTTCCGAAACACAACTATCCTTCTGAATCTTGTGATGGAGTTCTCCAACCTAAGAGCATGTACAAATATGTGTATATTATGGGATAGCATGCACACAAGGCATATATTAGTAAAAACAACATATAGAATTATTACTATTAAATGTCTGTACCGCCCTTCATCCGAGGATCACGGGGTTGGTTACAAAAACCCACAAAACATCCCATAATAGCAAACAATACCCCACAAACACAGTTTAAAAGGTCAGTTGGTCTAACTGTCACCTTACAAAGTGACAGTATCCATGCTACTATTAAACAGCTACAAACTCTCCCATTATAACTTGCTCATATTTAGACCTTTAAGTAAACATCTTCTAAGATTTCAAAAATATTTTCCCCGAAGCACAGATCTTCTGGTTGGGCCAGTTCCAAGGTGGCATTTTTGCATTCGTGGAACTGCTTCTGAAACTATTTGCTTGAATGCATACACATGCAAACACATGGTCTTGCCCAAAGGGGTCCTTTGCTTAATTGGTCCATAGAAAAATCCCATGATTTGGGGCAGATGCCATTCATGTGGCTGCCTGGAAACAAGTTGCCCGCATTGAACTCTTCGAAGCCAAGAAACAAGCATCCATGTCTGCAGAAATCCACAAAAGTCAGCCCATTTCGAGAGGGCCCACAGCTCAGTGGCAAAACAAAGGTGGTGTCCAGTTCAATTTCCAAAATGTCTAGTATAAAGGAGCAGGTGGTGAGAAAGACTTTCACCTGAGACCACAGAGTGCCTCCATCAGGCACACAGAAGACAAGCCTGCGCTAGATGGACCAACAGTCAGATTTGATATAAACAGCTTCATATTTTCCTTCTAGACTGGAGTGAGAATGGGCATCCAGATGTTGCTAAACTACCATTTTCACCATCCCTAACCATTGCCCAACAACGTCTGGAGGTTCAAAATGTTATGTCAGAACTAGGTCTTCTCCAAATATCCCCAGGGCTGAATATATGCCTGTATACCTGAAGGAGAATCTCCACCTCTATCGTCCAGCTCAGACACTGAGGTCCAGCTCCCAGGCCCTCCCAGGGAACCAGGCGGAGGGCCTTCCCTGCCCTGTGAAATGCCCTCCCATCAGATGTCAAACAGATAAACAACTACAGTGGTACCTCGGGTTACAGACGCTTCAGGTTACAGACTCCGCTAACCCAGAAATAGTACCTTGGGTTAAGAACTTTGCTTCAGGATGAGAACAGAAATTGTGCTCTGGCAGCGCGAGGCCCCATTAGCTAATGTGGTACCTCAGGTTAAGAACAGTTTCAGGTTAAGAATGGACCTCCAGAACGAATTAAGTTCTTAATCTGAGGTACCACTGTATTTGACTTTCAAAAGACATCTAGAAGGCAACTCTATTCAGGGAGTTTTTAACAGTTGATGTTTTATTGTGCTTTTAATATTTTGTTGGGAGGCACCCAAAGTGGCTGGGGCAACCCAGTCGGATGAGTAGAAGAAGAAGAAGAAGAAGAGTTTGGATTTGATATCCCGCCTTTCACTCCCTTTAAGGAGTCTCAAAGCGGCTAACATTCTCCTTTCCCTTCCTCCCCCACAACAAACACTCTGTGAGGTGAGTGGGGCTGAGAGACTTCAGAGAAGTGTGACTGGCCCAAGGTCACCCAGCAGCTGCAGGTGGAGGAGCGGGGAAGCGAACCCGGTTCCCCAGATTACGTGACTACCGCTCTTAACCACTACACCATACTGGCTCTCAGTAGCATATGAAATCAATCAATCAATCAATCCAAGATTTCATGCAAGCACAGGTGGGAAAAAATACAGGCTGCAGTACTGGGCATAGAATTCTGTTTCAGACAATGATTCAGATGTTGGGGCAAACTATGGCTTGCCATAACGTGCACAAGCAGCAGTGTATACGCTCCCTCCTCCCCCTTTCTCTGTGCATGATGGGAGGAGATTAAAAACTTCTTCTGTGCTCAGGAGCTATGGTTTGTAGGCAATTCCAAACTATGGTTTCTCATGAATGAACCAGAAGCTTCTATTCTCCTCTTGTGTCCTGGGGGAAAACAAGAGTCTGAGGCCTGCTCCTCCTCCTCCTCCTCCTGGTGCTGCTACTACTGCACGTAACACTAAATTGCGGTTTGTCATTACGTCTGAATGCAGCCAGTATCTGCTTACATAGTTTGTAGGGATTTCCCTCCCCAAGCAAGTTTCCAGGGCCTCATGAAGGTATGCTTGAAAGTGTGACAGCAATGCCTATGGAAACCACAGCAACCCAAGAGACTGCTAAATAAGATTCTCAGAAGGCAGGGCAATTCCCTCACTCCCCAGCGGCTAACAAAATCAGAATAAATTGTGTCAAAAATTCCCATATAAAGTCATGCAAAATAATCGGGTTAAGCCAATGCGCATAAATGCACAGGGGCTGTGGAGTTCCATTCTGCTTGGATTTCCAAACACAACAGAAGCGTTTTAGAGAAAGTACATTGCTGACGAAACTAAAATTTAAAAGCACCAAGATTAAAATGCAAGGAGACAGAATTGCTGGGTCATACTATGCCCCATCCCCACCTCCCTTCCCAGTATAAGTCAGCCTGCCAGTGAACTAAGATATAAAACCCTTCCAGGACTTGGACGGCTTTCAAAACCTCAAATATTTCCAACTGGACCTCACCCAGAGCAAGGGCTCTATTCATCAGCCAGTTGACACGATGTGCATCCACAGCTTGGCATTGGCAGAGAGGAATCCTCGATTTAAAAAAGGTCTGTGTTTATCTAGCTAGCCTCCTTCCCAATTATTAAAATGTTGCAGTCAACATTTTAAAAGAATACTTGGAGTTTCAAATTAAAATATAAACAAGCAAGCTTGGGAATAAACTCTGAACATACTACTGCTATGTTTCGCTTTAAAGAGCTAGCCTGCATTTGACACTGCGACTGCACGCCTTGATCAGAGTAAGTTTCACATCCATGTGACTGAGAATTAAGTGTGCATTTGTCCATTAAAAATAATAATAATGCTGTTTTGGTTATAGTATACAGATTCCCCAGGCTTGCAGTGGACCCCTTTCTGGTAGGAAGCACCATGAATTGAGTCAGGCCCTGTTGGGCCTCCCTCTGAGCATAGCTGTCAACCTTTCCCTTTTCTTGCGAGGAATCCTATTCGGAATAAGGGAATTTCCCTTAAAAAAGGGAAAAGCTGACAGCTAAGCCTCTGAGTTTTACCTTTCTTATAATGCTCCATAATGAGGCCACATTGGGCAAAGCAGCAATGAGCGTTCCCCACATCAAATGGGGGTGTTTTTTGCGTGGTCGCGCACAGCCCCCCTATATCCTATGCGGCTCCCTAAAATACAACCTGGCTTTGCCCAATCCCACGCTGGATACCTGGAGGTTCCCACCTAACCTCAGTTAACCAATCCCAGCGGAGGGGCGGCATTGCCAGGGAAGCTGGCCAGGTAGGTTGGGACTGCCCTGCCCACACAATAGAGGGTGGAACTTACCTGGGAGTCCTTGGTCGGCTCCAGAGCTTCTCCCACCCTGCCCTCCCTCAGTTATGCCTTCTTTTGCAGGTAAACCTCTTCTCCACAGGTACGCGGGCGCTGCTATGTCATTGGTTGCTGTTAAAGGACCGGGAAGGAATTTCCCTGCATTGGCAGGTTTCCCTTTCCCGTAGCAAAACATCACAACTTTGGCGGTTTCAGGCCTTGGGCAGAATCCTTTAGTCTATCTTCCCTAAATGGGGGGAGGGCAGCCCTGAAGCGGTGACCCACGCCCCCCCCTGTGGCGGCGATCCCAGGGTCCCCCATTAAAGGGGTTGTTTGAGGGGAGTCATTGGCCATGCGCCGGTAGGTTGTCAGTGGTCTCCCCTGCGTTGCAGCGAAATGGGGGGGGGGCTCTCTGCTTAAACATACGTTTTCCAAAGTCAGCCCAATCCCCACACATTTTGGATAACCCTGATGTTCCCCAGATCCCCAGCTGGGGACTGGGAGGGATAAACGCCCAGTGCCTGAACCAAGGTCTCCCTAAATCTGAAACTTAATAAAATTGTGGCCAATTTTAATCTCATAGCACGTTGTCTTGAGTCATTATTCCGCTCGGGGGTCACCTGGGGTTGGGGGGACTCCGCCAGTCCACACAATGTATGTTACAGATTCCCCAGCAGTGGGCCCTTTTCTGGTAGGAACCACTGTGAATTGAGTCAGGCGGCCCTGTTGTGCCTCCCTCTGAGTTTTACCTTTCTTAAAATGCTCCATAACGAGGCCACATTGGGCAGAGCAGAAAAGCTAAGATGGCGGTTGGCTTCACTGACCAAACAGGTGCCGGATGTCAATACTTGCTGATGCTTCTACACTCCACAAACCCGCTCACCCTTTCACGTGCGGCGGCATTGCAGGATGGAGGCGGCTTCCCTGGGGCCCCGACGGGGGAATTCAACCTGGCTGAGCCCTCCCTGACGGGCAAAGGGGGCATTAGCAAGCCGGAAGTATTTAGACTGCCCCATGCCCAAGCCAAACCTCTTTCATTGGTATTCAATAAAGTTGTGGCCTGTTTTGACCCAAAACCAGCCTCCTTGGTCTCTCAATAAGGGTTGGGGCATGGGAAGTCCAATGCCTGGTCCTGCAAGTCACTGGTCCATATTAATAATAATAATAAATAATAAATTTTTATTTATACCCTGCCCTTCCCGGTTCAGAAAACCGTGCTCAGGGCGGCTAACAACAAATTTAAAACACTTAATTGATGCAACAAAAAACAGCATAAAATACAGTATGAAACGTGAATAACAATAAATTCAGAATTCAAAAATCAAATTAGGGGGGAAATCCATCCAATAAACATTAGATGATCACTAGGGCTAGCTGGCTAAGTTAGTCCTATTTGGGCCAGCATGGAGACCAGGGGAAAATTAGCTGTGGGATCCCAGAGCGGGTAATCTTCATAAAAAGGGGAGGGGGGAAGGAAGGGGAATAAAAGATCAGGCTAAGTTCAAATTGAAAACCAGGCGAAATAGCTCTGTCTTACAGGCCCTGAGGAAGGAAGTTAAATCCTGCAGGGCCCTGGTCTCATGGGACAGAGCATTCCACCAGGTCGGAGCCATCATGTTAGACTCTTCTCAAGTCTATAGGCACCAGGTTCTTGTTCTAGCCAACATCTGATCTTTCCAAAGGGTTCCCACATGCTCAGTGTTTCTCAAACGGTCTTCGGTTGTTGTTGGACTACAACTCCCATCATCCCTAGCTAGCAGTACTAGGCTGAAGCTAATGGGAGTTGGCGTCCCACCACAAGTTCTTCAGCACTCAACGCATGAGGAGGGAGGCTGCCCACCCTAGAATATATTGGACTGGATTGTCAAAAAATGGTTTCGGACACTTTTCACCTTCCAGAAATTCCTAACTTAAGGAGGCCGCCTTCTCAATGAAAAAGAACCTTTCAAAGTAGGACGTATTTTCTCTCATGCTGCAGCTTTGAAGAATAATGACTGACTTATTGAGGCATCTCATTGGCATGGGCCTTACTCTATTTAAGGCCAAGGAAAGTCAAGGATTGCACCGTATATTTACAAAGGCTCCCAAATTGCAACACTTACTGTACATCGAGGGAAAGATCCCTCCTTTTCTGCCGCAAAATATCTGTGGCTTTTCATGTCGCTGAAGGGTACATATCTTGGCTTTCCACTCAGCCAAGTGACTCATCAGAAACCCGGGTCTGGCTACAGAATGCCATTTTTTGTTAGATGTGTGCGAGATTGACACAGAACACACAGTCTTGAGGTACACAGGCTCATACTAAAACCAGCCACATACACAAACAAGAGCATTCAGCCTGCAGCCATTTTATACATTTCACAAGGGACAGAAAACCTTGCATTTCTTGTCAGGATGGCTGGCTTTCGAGGAGTAGTAGCTATTTCATCTATGTGAGCCTGTCTGCAATCCCTACCTCCATGAAGGAAGCTTTCCGTTAACACAAACCAGCTTCTTCAAATGCCAAAAAGCCTCTGTTTGAGCCTGGGAAAACTTAAAACCTCTGGGGCAACTTGAATTTCAGATGAAACCTTTAAAAACCTTTAAGCTGCTGTCACTGAGTTGGATGGTGAACTGCTTGTAGGTTCGTAGGTGGAGACAGGGGAATAAATTCTGTTCGGATTGCATTTATAGGTGAACCTACCAAACGCACACTTTCTGAAACGATTCGCAAAACGAAACACGGCTGTTGTTCGACATTTGCAATTCTCTGAATTTTGCAGTGTGCTTTTCAGGTACAGTCATACCTTGTGTTACGTTTGCTTCACGTTGCAGTTTTTCAGGTTACGAACGCGGCAAGCCCAGAAGTGTTTACTTCCGGGTTCGCCGCGCGTGCACACACAGACGCGATCTGCGCGCATGCACAGAAGTGCTCTATCACGCTTCGTGCACACACATTAGCGGCACTCAACTTACAGACTTTTTAGGGTGCAAACGGCACTCCAAAACAGATTGCGTTCGTAAGTAGAGGTACCACTGTATATACCATGGTAAAGGACGCATTAAAATGCACACAGTGAAACTAGCATACACAAATGCATTATGTTACGGGAAATGGCTTTGTAAAAATGTGTATGTTAGGAGAAATTCGCATAAGGTCTTTTATTTTATTTTTTAGGGATCTGGAAATGTGGCTAACAGGAGTCGTAAAATAGGAAATAACAGAGAAACTGAGACTGACAGATTCACCCAGAGGCATGGGTCACCTTATCAATACCTAAAACTTCCTGAGCCAAGACTAGATCGTATTATACTTGATGTGCTTAGTTCTCTTTCCTGCTTTCATCCTGTAGCTAGGAAGAATAACCTGTGGTCCTTTAGATATTGTTGGGCAACACTGATCTCTTCCTGACCATCAGCCATGGTGGCTGAGACAGTCAAATGTCATTACAGGTCCAAAATGGAAATATATTCAGTGAATACAATGGATATTCACTTACAACATTCTTGGTTTTTTTAAAATTTAAATTAATGCTCTCCCCGCCCCCCTCCATTGGGTTGAGATTTCCTTTACATTGAAATGAGTAGCATGGAAATAGTTACGTCATTAATTGCATTAAATTCACAACTCACATAAATTGCACATATAATTACATAAATTACACCATTAATAACATCAATGATTACATTAAATTTCTAACTTAAATCAATTAAAGAAATAATTGGATAGATTATGTTAAATGCCAGACAGCAAGGTAAATAAGGTAGTACTGGATGTAGACTGAACTGCAGCAGAATGAAAACAGCGCTTATTCTGACAAAAGCAGAGCAAAATTAATGAATGTTAGAGTGATGTTGGCTTGAAGTTAAGTGGCTTCTAGCTGTACAGGCTTTAAAGTTATAAATATATCAAGATTAAGGATTAGGATTTAAAAGGTTAAAAGAATGGAAAAATTGGTTTTTAATAGGTAAAAATTTAATGTTATAACATATTAAGATTAAGGATTGGGATTAAAAAGGAGGGAAAGAAATTGCTGGACTAACAAACTGAATTGGAATACAAAAGAGGGAGGTATGAGGAGGTCCGGGAAATAAGTAAATGTAAAAGAAGTGATGAAAAGACGGAATTGTTTTTAACTGTTTTTTCTTTTTGTATTTTGTATTGTGTATTTTTCCTTTTATTTTTAAATTCTTCTTTTTTATTAATGTGATTCTTTTTTTGTGAAACTTTAATAAATATCTTTAAATATATATATATATATATATATATATATATATATATTCTGACAAAAGCAGATTGGAGCAGAAACCACTGCCTTCTCACTTCCCTAATCCACATCCAAATAACTTTATTGTACCAGCCATTGGCCATGACGAAACCTCCCTTATCAGGAACCTAAATGAGACAGCAGATGCAACACTAAGCAAGATGGGAAGAAAAAGTGGGAGTGAAGATCACAAATCCACAATGGAGAACCCGTAAGTGCCCTGGGATCTTAAGTGATGCTGGTTTAATATATATATATTTATTTTAAAGTTATGATTTAAACGATTATACATATTTTTATTTTGACATTGTTTCAATACCATTTTAGCTAACTTCATTATACATGTATATAAAAGAACACGTTTTTTAAACCACCTTGACCATTTTTTACCTTTTAAATGCGGTATAAAAATATATTAAATAACAAATTAATAGTAGAGCAATAACTCTACTGGTAGCGCATGAGACTCTTAATCTCAAGGCCTGCCGAGGCTCCGGGAAAGCTATTCCTCCCCCGGCTGCAGCAAAAGCAGAGAAAACAAGGTAGAGTCCTTTCTCATGAGTTTATTCAATCATAATAGCGAGAGATAAAAGAACACAGCAAGCCCTAACAATGGCGTTGCTCCAAACTGGGCTCCTCCTCCCTCCTTTCAAGCAACAGAATCTCCCTTTACGGTGGCCACTTGTGGTCAAATGTCTCTGAGTCCGTTATTCCTGCACTCTTAACAAATGCTGCGTTCTGGGAGAAGGGGGATTAGAAAGACTCTCCAGATGATGGAATTTTTGGAGCTGGCCGACCTAACCGGAAGAATCTGCAATCAGAAGGAGGAGGAGTAGCAAGATGAATGGAAGAAATTTAAGGACTATTTAAATAAATATGTTAAGTTAATATAAGTAGAACTACTTGTGAGTAAATGATTGGCCTAGGAGATTACTATGTTAAATTACATAATATTATGCATTGAAGTCAATATGAAAAGGCAAAAAGATGTTAAATGCCTAAGTAATTATTATTGGGAAATAGTGTTGGAAAACTGCTACAATGAATAACTTGGAAAATCAGCTAAGGGGGTTTGAGGAAGTCATAGAACAATGGTAACAAAAATGGATACTTAACAGTTAGGATAAACATTTGTTTGTTTGTCTGTTTTCTTGTTAATGTAATGTTTTCTTTTTTCTTTTCTTATTTTTTTCTTTATTGTTGTTATATAAAATTGGAAACTCAATAAAAATTTTGAAAAAAAAACTAATAGAAAGACTCTCCAGTGACAACAAGTCAGCTGGCTGCCCTGCCGTAGCCCCCCCCCCCCCGCCTTCTTCTAACAATTCCCAACTCTTCTGTTCATCTATCTCTGAGCTGTGACTTTCCTCAAACCCTTGTTGTAATTCAATGTTGCATCCCTCCTCTCCTGCAGGGTCAGGAGAAGGGGGGAGTGATCTCCTGAAGGAGTGTCTCCACCCCCATCGTCCAGCCCAGACACTGAGGTCCAGTGCCGAGGGCCTTCTGGCGGTTCCCTCATTGCGAGAAGTGAGGTTACAGGGAACCAGGCAGAGGGCCTTCTCGGTAGTGGCACCCGCCCTGCAGAACATCCTCCCACCAGATGTCAAGGAAATAAACAACTACAGTGGTACCTTGGCCCCGTTCGCATCGTGAACAGAACGTAAGACGCGTCTGTGCATGAACGTGATGTCACTTTGACTGTCTGCACATGTGCGAGCAGCGTGCTCCATTACTTCCGGGTCGCCGCGGAGCACAACCCGAAAATACTTATCCTGAAGCGTATTTATCCCGAGGTATTACTGTATCTGACTTTTAGAAGACATCTGAAGACAGCCCTGTTTAGGGAAGTTTTTAATGACTGATGTTTTAATGTATTTTTAATCTTTTGTTGGAAGCCACCCAGAGTGGCTGGGGAAACCCAGCGAGATGGGCGGGGTAGAAATAAGTTGTTGTTGTTGTTGTTGTTGTTGTTGTTGTCGTCTCCACCATCCCTCTTGAGTCCAATCCCTGACAAGGCTGTGGGTTCGAGCCTACAGTGGGTAAAATGATTCCTGCATTGCGTAGGATTGGGCCTAATGACCTTCCTGATCCCTTCCAACTCTACAATTCTATGAAATATATAATTCCTTGCTGTATGAATGGAGCCAGTGCCTACCAGATGAAATCCCTCGAATCTGGCGATAAGCAGATTAGAAAAAGGAAGCCGTTTCATTGCAAAAAGCAAAACACAAAAGCTGCACTGTATGACTTCTTTATTTGTTAAGGAATATTGTTGTCACCCTATCCACTTGTAAAACTTCAAAACCTGTTATTTGGGCAGAGCGGACCCCAAAAGCAGAATTTTCTCGACTTCTCTGCTTCTAAAAATTATGATCCTCAAATGGGTTTGGTGAGGGGAAAGAGGGAAACTGGAACTGTTGAACAGCTTCCATGATCTTTCTACTTTGACCAAGTTTGTAGAAACTGCCAAATAAAGGAGGAGTCGCACGTTTATGATTGGCTAGAGAACTGCTGCGACAACAGACTCTCTCCATTTACAGTTTGAGCACAGGAGCCACAAAGGCTCCCAGAGAGTCGTGGGGAGGAGGCCTCAAACTCCCAGTATCTTATTTGAATATTATTTTGCTTACTCTTCTGTTCTCTCACGATTCCCACAGGGCTTCACAATTGGAGGCAAAGGCCGAGAAGTCATGCAGTTCTCTTCCAAACAGGCACCTGGGCCAAAACTTAATCCCAGAGGGCAACACTGCCTTGCTCCAGAGAGAAAGTAGGAATAAAAGCTCTGAGGCTGGAAGCAGAGATTCCAAAGTCCGTTCAGAACAAGTGCCGGGCAGACAACTTGCTTGGTTTGATTCTTCCTTCAGAAAGACAGAAACATAACTGGGGGGGAAACGTGGAAGGTGTGATCTTAAGTTTGCCGTTAAACCTGAATCAAACCATGTCTTAAGTTAAGGGGTGTAAGATTGCGAGCCACATTTTGAACACTCTGGACAAACCGTTCAGCATTCAGATGGGAAAGTGGGGAGCGGATTGGGCCCTCTCAAGGCCCACCCCCAACAATGGATCCATGCCTGCCATTGGCTGTTGCTACATCCATCACTGGCTCTGTCTCCACCTCCTGTTGGTCTCCCTGCTCTCCACCCTGCGAACAGTAGCAGCAGTGATGCAATTGGCCTGCCATTTTAATTACTCACAAGTGCCCTGGATCAACACTAGACTTGTCCAGTCAGGGCTACTCCAGACAACCCGTTTATCAAGCAATTGTCTTGATCTAGTTACGCAAAACATACACCAAGGTTACACTATGCCGGGTCTTTTCTGAGCATCTATTCTAATTTGCTTGCAGGGAGGTTACACAGCACTGAACATTCTTTCTGATTTGCTGATACAGTGTTTATGCATCTTCTTGTTAACCATTCATTCATTTGCTCCACATTTTTCTGGGCATTTTCCCTCACTTTCCTAACCGCAAAACTTCTCTGTTGGTTGGTTAGTTTTTAAAGGTGATATACAGTGGTACCTCGCGTTACAGACGCTTCAGGTTACAGACGCTTCAGGTTACAGACTCTGCTAATCCAGAAATAGTACCTCGGGTTAAGAACTTTGCTTCAGGATGAGAACAGAAATCGTGCAGCGGTGGCGGGAGGCCCCATTAGCTAAAGTGGTACCTCAGGCTAAGAACAGTTTCAGGTTAAGAACGGACCTCCGGAACGAATTAAGTTCTTCACCAGAGGTACCACTGTATTGATCTCGGGCAACAAAGCGCTTTAATCCACTTTAATTGCACAAACCTGCATTTCCAGTATGTATTGGAACCTCTCCTGCAAAATGCTGACAGCCTTGAAGTGGCCTCATTCTGACCTTATTTATTTCATAAATAAAATTTATACATTTCATACAATTTATACATTTGCTTGATTGCAAATTCTCCTTGTAAACCGCTTTGAGGGTTTATTTACAAAGACCTTCTAAACTGCACAGAAAGCTTCCATCTATCCCCCGTGCTTCCCACCCCAGACCAGGCAATGGGGGCCTGAGAGAGGGGGGAGAACCAGGAAGTGCATCCCTGCTCTCCCTCTCTTCTGAACACTTGCGTACAACTACTACATGGCAGCCTTCTGAGTAATGAAAATGGCAGGCAGCTTACAGTCCTAGCCATTCATAATGATTTATAAGACTGTGGCAGTTCCAAGTAAAACGATAGGGAGCAAGCAGACAATACAGTGGTACCTCAGGTTACATACGCTTCAGGTTATAGACTCCACTAACCCAGAAATATTACCTCGGGTTAAGTACTTTGCTTCAGGATGAGAACAGAAATCGTGCTCTGGTGGCATGGCAGCAGCGGGAAGCCCCATTAGCTAAAGTGGTGCTTCAGGTTAAGAACAGTTTCAGGTTAAGTACGGACCTCCAGAACGAATTAAGTGCTTAACCTGAAGTACCACTGTACAAAAAGACAGCCCAGGCATGCTGTGATTCATGCTAGTATTAGACTCATAAAAGTAAAGGACCCCTGGACGGTTAAGTCCGGTCAAAGATGACTATGGGGTTGTGGCGCTCATCTCGCTTTCAGGCCGAGGCAGCCGGCGATTGTCCACAGACAGCTTTCCGGGTCATGTGACCAGCAGGACTAAACCACTTCTGGAGCAATGGAACACTGTGACGGAAAACAGAGCGCACAGAAACGCCATTTACCTTCCCGCCACAGCGGTACCTGTTTATCTACTTGAACTGGCATGCTTTTGAACTGCTAGGTTGGCAGGAGCTGGGACAGAGCAACGGGAGCTCACCCTGTTGCAGGGATTCGAACCGCCAACCTTCTGATTGGCAAGCCCAAGAGGGTCAGTGGTTTAGACCACAGCGCCACCTGCGCTGCACGTGAGGGTGGCTGAGGCTGAATGGAAGCTCCTTGCCTAAGAACATCAAGCAGATTCATGGTTAAGGCATGATTTGAACCCAAAATGCCTCATGCACCGATAGTGCCTTAGCTTACCAGTTCAGTAAGCATCCAAGATGACTTTAAATTTAGTCTAAATGTGCTGTGGTTTTGCAACAAATTCAAGGAGTCCTTGCACCGAAGCCTGTTATCGTTTACTAGGCAGACAACCCCTCAAGTGGCCTTGACTATTTTAGCATCATTCAAAAGTTAAACATTCTTGTAGTTTGTTATGTTTGTTTCTCTGAGCAGTGCTGGAGCACAGAAATCCAGTAAGAAGAGCACCACCACCGCTAGAGACAAAATGTTTCTACAGTCCTAAAATGCAGTTACCGTATTTTTTGCTCTATAAGACTCACTTTTTCCCTCCTAAAAAGTAAGGGGAAATTTGTGTGCGTCTTATGGAGCGAATGCAGGCTGCGTAGCTATCCCAGAAGCCAGAACAGCAAGAGGGATCGCTGCTTTCGCTGCGCAGTGATCCCTCTTGTTGGTCTGACTTCTGAGATTCAGAATATTTTTTTTCTTGTTTTCCTCCTCCAAAAACTAGGTGCGTCTTATGGTCTGGTGCGTCTTATAGAGCGAAAAATACGGGTACCTGAGTTACTTTGAAATGGATATAATGCCCTAGAGGGAGGAGGAGAGCAAAGTCCACCTAATTCAGTCTTCTCCAATCTAGTGACCTCTAGATGTTGTTGGACTTCATCTTCTATCCCAGTCAGCCTGGCCAACGGTCAGGGTAGAATATCTCCAGCGCTCTTTTTCCTCAGCTAGGAAGCAGGCCCTATCCATGTACACAGCAACTTGGCCTGAAACTTCTCAACACCTTGGGAATCTAGGAGAGCATAACAGGTGTGACACATTCAGCTATAGTTGGTGGTACATGATTCAGAAGGGATAATAGAGTTGCTGGAGAATTCCAGTAGAAAAGGAAACAGGGCAAAAATTGCCAATGTTCATTCATTCGTTCTATGTCCACAATGGAAATCAATCCAGTGAACACAATCAGTATTCATGGTAGTTCCTTTCAGTTCACAAATTTTAGACAACTGATTACAATTGATTTGCAAAAAAAAAAATTATTTGCTAAATATAATGTCGTATAAATCGTTGGTCTTTTTTAAAAAAATCTTTTTTTGTCTTAGTTTCAAAATTTTCCTTTCCCCCCTTCTTTTCTTTTTTTTTTTGTATTTAAATCTGAAATACTTACTTTCGTTATATGTTTGTATGTTTGTCTCTTTGTATTTTAAACCAATAAAGATTTAATATAAAAAAAGGAAATCAATCCAGTGAACACAATCAGTATTCATGATAGTTCCTTTCAGTTCAAAAATGTTAAGACAATTGATTACACACGCCCCACATTGCACAGTGCTTCATTTGCACTGAATGAAAGGGGTGGAATAACATGAGGATTTATGCAATAAATTTTGCTGCAGCAGACAGCAAGACGAATGAAGTCAGTTTTGGTGGAAGGTGAGCTGCAGGGGAATGGAAACAGCTGCATTGCAACATAAACTATGCTTGCTTACATCCCTAGGGATGAATCACAGTATTCTCAACGGAAAGAACATGCTGAATTGTCTATATCAGAGCTTTCCAAACTTTTCATGCTCGTGACACACTTTTTATACACAGATCATTTCACGACACAGTAATTCAGTTTTACTAGCAAACTGGAGGTTAAACTAACCCCTTTCCAGGCCTGGGAAGAAAGTGGGGAGAGTTCACATGACACACCTACACAGCTGACACACTAACGTGTCGCAACACAGAGTTTGGAAAGATCTGGTCTGTATTTAACAACCGTAAAAATCAGAATTATTGGGGGGGGGAGGTGCAACACTACAGACTGTCTGCTTCCACGTCTATCAACAGATATTGGTAGAAATCAATAGTCAGAATAGCAGGCATTCATTCTACATTATTGTTACTAATGTGGCTGTTAAAAAATGTTTTGAAAAGCCAGCGTTACAAACACTCATTAAGAGATCCCTATGAAATCTGTCAAAAGCAGTTGTCTAGAAGAAAACAAGTGTCATGTTTAATGGCATTTATCTCAGCCTACATCTAAGGAAAGGCAGGCACAGGAGAGACACAAACAAAACACAATTCTAACCAGCAGTCTGAGTTTCATTCAAAGTAGAAAGAAAGAAAGAAAGAAAGAAAGAAAGAAAGAAAGAAAGAAAGAAAGAAAGAAAGATGAATGTCCTGTTTTAAGTCAGTGCCACAAGAAATGAGTAAACACCCCCCCCAAAAAAAAAAGCCCTTCAGCATGTAAAGTGAGGTTAGCTTGAGGAATCTGCTGCCAAATGATACTGGGATGGTCTGAAGCTTAGATAGCTTTAAAATGGGGAGGCTACAAATATGCAGAGGAGAAATATTATCCGTGACACTCCCTCACCAACCTTAATGTGGCCATTCTCAAATACAGTGGTACCTCGGGTTAAGTACTTAATTCATTCCGGAGGTCCGTTCTTAACCTGAAACTGTTCTTAACCTGAAGCACCACTTTAGCTAATGGGGCCTCCCGCTGCCGCCGCGCAATTTCTCTTCTCATCCTGAAGCAAAGTTCTTAACCTGAGGTACTATTTCTGGGTTAGCGGAGTCTGTAACCTAAAGCGTATGTAACCTGAGGTACCACTGTAAAGGAATTTCAATGCAAGAAGCTCAGCCAAGCCAGGATGTCTGTGTTATCCACTGCTGTTATTTTTATGAATGGTCCCTCTTATTATGGTAATCATCACTGTCTGCACTTTTCTGCATTTCCTTTCCTTTTGACCTCATTTTTTTTTTACCATTCCTCCCCACCCCACCGCCTTAATTCTGCATGTATGCACCTGCAGTATAGGATAACACTTCATGGACTGCAGTCCACAAAAGCTTATGTCAGCCTTCGCCAACCTCGTGGCCTCCAGGTGTTTTGGACAAGGCTTCTTCCTTGTGGTCCAGCAAATCGTGTGATATACTGCTGCTGCTGCTGCTACAGGTCAACTTGGGTGACTTAAAAGAGGATTAGACAGAGGCATGGAGGATAAGGGTATATACATGGCTTTCAAATCACAACCAGTGAAGGCGGTGAAGGTCCTGTGTGAGTGCCTGGAGGCGGTTGGAGGATGGATGGTGGCTAATGGATTGAGGTTGAATCCTGACAAGGCAGAAGTACTGTTTTGGGGGGACAGGGGGCAGGCTGGTGTGGAGGACTCCCTGGTCCTGAATGGGGTAACTGTGCCCCTGAAGGACCAGGTACGCAGCCTGGGAGTCATTTTGGACTCACAGCTGTCCATGGAGGCGCAGGTCAATTCTGTATCCAGGGCAGCTGTCTACCAGCTCCACCTGGTACGCAGGCTGAGACCCTACCTGCCCGCGGACTGTCTCGCCAGAGTGGTGCATGCTCTAGTTATCTCCCTCTTGGACTACTGCAATGCGCTCTACGTGGGGCTACCTTTGAAGGTGACCTGGAAACTACAACGAATCCAGAATGCGGCAGCTAGACTGGTGACTGGGGGCGGCCTCCGAGACCACATAACACTGGTCTTGAAAGACCTACATTGGCTCCCAGTACGTTTCTGAGCACAATTCAAAGTGTTGGTGTTGACCTTTAAAGCCCTAAACGGCCTCGGCCTAGTATACCTGAAGGAGCATCTCCACCCCCATCGTTCTGCCCAGACGCTGAGGTCCAGCACCGAGGGCCTTCTGGCGGGTCCCACATTGCGAGAAGCAAAGCTACAGGGAACCAGGCAGAGGGCCTTCTCGGTAGTGGCGCCCGCCCTGTAGAACGCCCTCCCATCAGATGTCAAAGAGATAAACAACTACCATTCAGAAGACATCTGAAGGCAGCCCTGTTCAGGCAAGTTTTTAATATGTGACATCTTAGTGTATTTTTGGTCTTTGTGGAAGCCGCCCATCTAGCTGGGGAAACCCAGCCAGATGGGCAGGGTACAAATAATAAATTATTATTATTATTAGCCATAACTACCATACTCTTCTTCCACAATCAGAGGGAGCAATGCTCCCAAACACTGCTGCTACTGAAAACAGCAGGAGGAAAGATCACTGTTGCACTTGAGTCCTGCCTGTGGGCTTCCCATAGGTATCTGGTTGGCCACTCTGAGCACAGGATGCTGGACCTATGATGGACTCTGGCACCTCTCAGGTGGGTGCCATTGTCATCCTAAGAGAACAAGGGAGCGGTTCATGATGAGCTTCAACACCTCTTTTTATAGAAAAATAGCACTGACCACTGCGATGGTGTTTCGGGCATCAGCTCAGGTTCAACATTGGAGCTGCTGCCGAACATCTTAGTGGCTTCTTCCAGAATCTCCTGGTGTCAATATTTTGCAAAAATTCTTCCAAATTTCTCCTTGGCATGCTGTTCCAGCATCACGGGATTCACATGGCTTAGCTCTACTCGGTCCGTTCGCTTCTCCGCAGTTCCCTGCAGCCTGTTTCCCGAACGCCACACCACAACGAGGGCACCCCACGTTGAAGAACTGAAATGTCCAGTCAAGTATGGCTATTGCTACTGCTAACCACTGGAAGTCAAAAATCCTCGCCTCAATCTGCTTCAAGTCACTCAGAGCTTTACCGTTAGATCTGCCCAATCTATTTGATGTCCTCCCCTGAGATACGTCATTTGGATAAGGCTTGTGAAATGGGCACCAGCAACTTCAGAAGAGTAAATACACAACTCTGTTGAATGCACGGATGCTGTAAGGATTCCTGCATTCAATTAAATTTCACCACATATATCATATGTAGGGTATTAGTGCATGCGGTGTATTTTGGGGGAGGAAACCGATCTTGAAAAAAGCTAGGCTCTGAATAATACTGCATTCTTAATGAAAGAAAGAGGTAAGCTCCTGATATTTAATTATTCTTCTTATTGCTTTTTAACACGTTCTAAAAATGACAGGAAAATGCAAGATTTTAAAACCTTCCGGCACAATGACATTTCTTAAAATGTTCTTTTTGCCTCTTTTGTGCCTCGTTTCACATATCTGAGGAGACATTGTCATGAATTATCATTAGGGATGAAGGAGGGATCCATTTTAAATGAATTTATACATAGAATTTGGTGGTTCTAGCCTGCTCAAGCTTTGCTTGCATTAGGCTACTTTTTTTTTCTTGCCTCAAACATCCGTTTATGCCTAAGTTACTAATTTGTCGCATTATTTTTTAAAAGCCTCACAAATAATGTGCAAAATTACATGTAGAAAATACATATAGTACAAATCTAAAAGATTCAAGCCCCATGTGGTCCTATATTTCAGCTGCATAATTTTGTAAGTATTAATGCACAAGTATTTTTAGGGACGCTGGTGGAGCTGTGGGTTAAATCACAGAGCCTAGGGCTTGCCGATCAGAAGGTTGGAGGTTTGAATCCCCGCAATGGGGTGAGCTCCCATTGTTTGGTCCCTGCTCCTGCCCACCTAGCAGTTCGAAAGCACAAAGTGCAAGTAAATAAATAGGTACCACTCTGGCGGGAAAGTAAACGGCATTTCTGTGCGCTGCTCTGGTTCGCCAGAAGTGGCTTAGTCATGCTGGCCACATGACCTCCGGTTGTACGCCGGCTCCCTTGGCCAGTAAAGCGAGATGAGCGCCGCAACCCCAGAGTCGGTCACGACTGAACCTAATGGTCAGGAGTCCCTTTACCTTTACTATTTTTACACTGCCATATGCATTATATGAAACTGTTTCTGTACTGTTTACTTCAGGAAATCTAGAATGTATGTGTGTATAATATAGGTCAAATATTATACATGCAATAATGCATGTAATATGATAGAATGGTACTTCTAGCAGAACCAGTTATAGAAAGGAAGAAAAACTTGCTTCTTGTTGAGATCAAAGAGCAGGAAAGACACGAGAAAACATCTGTGCAGATCATCTTGACACAGACATTTTCAGAAAACTCCATCTCTAATTATCACCGGCACAAAGGAATGAGACAGAAAGCTGTACAAAATGCACAAGAGAGGGAAAGGCCATCTCTGGAGCAAGAACAATGGAGCCTCACGTTGGTTCTATTGCATCCCAGGAGGGAGTGAAAGGTCAATATTAAAGTGGGTGTAAAAGCAAAACAAAAAAAAACGAACAGGATGTCATCTGTGTTTTCCTTGCCCAGAGTGGTTTCGGAAACTGCAATAACTAATTTCAAAATTAAGTGATGTCAAGGTTGAGACACTGCGTGCTCTTTCGACATGAGATGCTTGCCTGTTATTCTTTCATTACGTTACAGTATTTCACCAGCGTAAACATGCCCTTCTGTTCGGGTGGGGATATGGTTATTGGCTCAGCGGTATTGCTCTGTTGTTGTAACCAGGACAGGACTGTGGGTAGCTACAGGTGAATCTCGGTGGAGAGGATGAATTCCTCAGCTCAGAATCTCCACAAAGACAGTGGTTTGGACTGCAAACAGAAGTCTGAGGGGCAACAGGTAAAAAGACCCTGCTCTGTTAGACCGGGCAAATGTCAGGCCTCAGCCCTGTCCAATCCTAGAATATGTGGTCTCTTCAAAGGAAGAGCAGGGGAAACCAGCAGATCATCACCTTCAGCAGATCAACAAAACTCTTGAATTCATCCTCACCTCCCACCACGTCCAGGGTCACAAGCACAGAGATGTTGAGCCAGGCAAGAGCTTTACAGTCACCAACAAAATGCTTGGCTTGCCGCATGAGGAGAAAGCACATGTGAGCCCCTGCGTGGATCAGGGCCCGACGGAGAACCAGGAAGGAGCAGATGAGGTGGAGCTTCCAGCTCTCCTATGAACTTTCCTGACTCATGAAGCAACAACTTCCTTAGAGCTCCTGGCCTTCTTGAATCAGTGAAATGGACGCAGGAGCCAAAGGCCCACCTCCTATTTCTCCCAACAGGTCTGGCCAATCCAGAGGCATTTTACTGCTTGTCAGGGGCGCTGGGTATAGGGGGCAAAAGGAGCTTCAGCCCCCTCAATATTTTGGCCCAGGGGGCTCAGCCCCCCCCCCCCCAGTATTGAGGGAGCCAACATCCTTCGCATGCCCAGACCTCGATCTGAGCACACAGAGAGTTCTAACTAGGCCAAGTCTTGATCTCAGATCATGACATTTCTGGTTTAGGGAGCAGACTCCATAATATAATATATTTGGTCTACTTCAGGGGAATAGTGAATACCCACTCCCTGTCCCGTCATATCTAAAGCAGGTTATATGAAGGACTGCCTTATTCCATATACAGTACTTCTGTCTGGCAATTGTGTCCCTCTGATGGGACATTGTGAAACATGCCCCAGAGGGATGTCTGACAAGCTAGAAAGTGCAATCCCAGCTCTATGGAATCGGCTTCCAGGTGAAATTAGTGACGGGCTTATATGTTTTTAAACGGCTTTCCCTGAAGAGTGACTCTGCCATTTTATATTGTACATCGTATGGAATCTTGTAATTTCATTATCTGTTTATTTG